TGGGGAGGGACCATGGGAGGTCTCCAGGGCATGACTGGCCCATCTTGCTCAGTCCCAATCAGCTGGACCCCAGCAGCAAGCTAACCTCACAGTCAGAGCGTCTGCCTCCTGGTGGTCAGTGCGTGTCATAGCGAGCAGTTGAGTGGCCTTAGCATATCATTAGCATATTACACTTTGATTGGTTGAACGACCAACTGGATGACTGGACACTTAGCATATTAGGTTTTTATTATATAAGATTGTATTGTGGATTCCCCCCTGAAATAGAGCTTCCACAGTGTTTTCATTTCTCACTGATGGGCTGTTGGACTCATCTCAGTGAAATTCTTTAGGAGTAGGTCTTGCCCAGTTACAGTTCTTCAGGAGTGGTCTGCTCTGTGATAGAGATGGATTTGGTGTCTGGAGTAGGGGTCCTTGTGCTTTAACACTCTGATCCTATCTGCTCCACTTGGTTCCAAAGTAACAATTGACCTATATTCCCTCAGAGTTATTTCTGTCTTGTTCTGTTTCCACCTCCTTACACTCCCTAGCACACCCTTTCCTTCACCCCAAATCCCACCTTGGGCAACCTTCCAAAGCTAGGCAGGCAATTCTGCCCAGGTCCTCTTCCCCCTCACTCCTTTGAGAAATGCTGGCGGGACCTGGCTAATTCTATGGTGGCCCAGCCTGACCCAACTCTTCCATGAACCTGCCTGTGCCACCCAAGAAGCTCAGCCAGGGCAGGCTGTCCCTTAAAAAGCTGGCATTTTGTCTCATAGCAGGTGCCCTTGGCATGGGGATGTCTCAACGCAAAGGAGGCGTACCGCCGTGGTCTGAGCAGAGCCCTGTGTTCTGGGGCAGAGATGTGGGTTTATTGACACTAATGGCTTTTCTTCTCTATTATTCATGTTTTCACTCCAGGCAAACCCGGGAAGTATTTAGGGTGAATGTTATAGACATAATCTCCAAGGATTCGGAGAGGGAGCAAGCACTAACATTTAGTGGGTGCTGAGTGAGAGGTAGGTTCTTGCTTGGCTGGCTGGTATCACAATGAGCAGGGACATGCTGTTGGAGCGAATCGGCACTTGGTTCTATCCTAGATCCACTTCTAACTGGCCGTGGGGCTTAGATGAGCCAGTAAACCAGGGTGGCTTACTGTACACGCGGAGCCTAGGGTTCTGCAACGTGGAGGTGACAGGCCTGGGATGTAGGCTTGGGCTCCCTGGTGTCCATGAAGCAGCCGAGTGCAGTGGCTACAGCACAGGCCTCGCAGCCAAGCAGAGCTGCTGGAGGGCCCCTGCATCATCGTTCAACCAGCAGGGACCTTGGTCCAGTCACTGAACTTGCTCTGAGACTCTTTTCCACATGTGTAAGATGGCGATGAAAGTAGTCCCAGCCCCCAAAAGTTATTATAATGATTAAATGAGAACGCAGGTGTTAAAGGGAAAAAAACCACAGGCCCCAAATGGCGTCACTCAAGTTAAAAGCCCAAGATACCAAACCTAGATTTAAGACCTGATCTAATTGCAGTTTCAACCTCTCCCAGAAACAATTTTAATCAACCAGTAGGGAATTTTCTGGTCAAGGACCAGTAAGGTAATATGTCACATAGGCCCTCTCCATCCCCCATAGAAAGAAGAGGCTCCCTATATAATAAAGCCCTTCCCCTTCTCTTTCTTCCAAGGAAAAGGTGCCCCTCCCCCAAAGTAATCCTTCCTTTTCTTTCTGGCTAATAGCTCTCTTGCCCCCGACCCAGCTTCCTATAAAGACCCTCCATTTTGTACAACCCCTTGGAGCACCCTTCCAATTGCTAGTTGGGATGCTCCCTGAATTGTTTAATAAAATCAACTAGGTATTCAGATTTACTTGGTTAAATTTTGCCGTTTTCTTTAAATATGTTTTTATAAATTGATATTTAGAGAGAGAAAGAGAGGAAGGGAGAGGGATAGAGAGATAGAAATACTGGGGATCTAGCCCGCAACCTAGGTATGTGCCATGACAGGGAATTGAAGTGGTGACCTCTTGGTTCCTGGGTCTACACTGAACTGCTGAGCCACACCAACTGGGCAAGTGATGTGTGTTTTGTTTGTTTGTTGTTGTTTTAACACTGGTAAACTGCCTTGTGTTCCACAAATAGTAGCTCTTCTTAATATTAGTTTCATCATTATTATTTGAAAAGGATATTTTAATGTCCTGGGAAAAAGGGAACGGTCTGCTTTGCCTACGCACCTACCTGGAATGGAAATCCACTCAACTAATGAGCCTTTTCTTGGGCTGTTGGGGCAGCTTCTCAGCCCTGCCTTTGTGCTGAGAGCAGACCAGCTGGGCTGGCGTGGTCTCTGAGGAGGTTCCCCCACCCCCAGTTGCTGGTCTGGTTTCTTTCACCCTCACAAAAGGCCTGGCAGAGCTGCCTAGCGGAGTCAGTATCTCCAGGGTCCCGTGGGACAGAAGCAGCCCACGGTGGCCATGGCTGCTTGTCCAGTCCCACCTGATGCCCCTCCCCCTCCAACTCTTTCCTAGGACTCACTCCTCCTGAGCCATGTGGCTGGTCTGAGGCCCTGGGGTCTGACTGGTGGGGTGCACACCTGGGCCCCTGGCTCTCCTCCAGTCTGAAAGACCTCAGCGAGGGCCCACACAGCCAGGCGAGCTGCTATTGTTCCGGCCCACACCATTGTGAGGGAGCTGTTTCTTTGGACAGCGTTGGCTTTCTTGGTTTCCAATTTGTGCTAGTTTTTCTTCCCATTGCCCAGAAGGGAGTAGAGTGGAGGGGAAGAGTACCAGCTTCAGGGGCAGGTGGCCTGGCAGGTACTTCTGGGCCAGGCACTGTATGAAGCATGGGGCCAAATGCTTGCAGAAATTAGAATTATCTCAGGAGCCCTCATAACATTGCCATTAGAGGCTCCTCCTAACACAGGAGGGCACGCAGGCGCAGAGTGGTAAACAAACAGGAGTAACTTTCTCAAGCAGCATAGCAAAAGGGGGCTGGGATAGCAAGGAGGGAGTCTGCGGGAGGGGAGGGGAGAAGGGGAAAAGGAAAGAGGCAGATTGCTTCACAATCTTGCCCAGAGCCTGACTTACAACGGATGTAGCCACACCCTTCCCAGGGAGGAGGTAAGCAAGGACTGAATGGAAGGTTTAGGAAGATACAAGGGGGCTTTCCCAAGGAAAAGCACATCCTAACGGGAGATGTGAAGAGGCATTATTTCTGTGGGGGAGCAGGAAGCCAGTGAGCATGCCTTTTTGGGTGGTCACAGCAACCATTTAATTCAGAGCCTGTGTTTGGATCCCAAAGGATCCCAGGCCACTGAAGTCATGCACACCTGAGCCGAACCTGAGCCGAACGCAGCCTTATGCGCAATAAGACCATGAAGGCGGCGTCCCTGATTCCTGTGGTTGCCAGTGAGATTTAATTTTTAATTTTTGAATGAATGAATGAACAGTTTCACACGCAAGAGCTTTGGCCCACCAGCAAATGTCACCTTCAGCAGAGGTTTTCTTGTTTCTTCTGGCCTGTGATTTCCACATCCTCCCAGTGTTTCAGCAGCTTCCTCTTCCCTGTTCCTGAAAGAACCTGCGTTTCCCTCCCCGGGCTTCCTTCCTGGCTTCCTGTGTTGCTAAGCCTCTTGCAGTTGTCATCACGTCTTCAGCAAGCGGTTGATAGGTACAGGAAGTTGCACCAGACGGGAGATGAAACCAGCAATCAATAAAAAAGGACGATGTTTCTAAGAAAAATGCATCACTGGCTTCCCGCAGGAGTTGTGTACCATATGTCCTAATATCCGTGGAACAATGCATCTCGTTTTTAGCTCTTCTGCTTGGCTTTCCTGAACATCTCAGCAAGAAAGAAACCGGACCTTTTAACCTGCTGCTGCCCAGCTTACCGGTGACTGATAGTAAACGGTGGCCTCGCCTTTTAACCCTTTCATCAGAGTTGGCAACAGAGACTCTCTCCCTCCAGCCTGCTTTCTCCTGGCTACTAGCTTTAGTATATTTATGGTGCATGAGTCATCAAGCTGCCGCCTGATTGGATAAAAACCAAGCACCCCTGAGACCATCAGTCAATTACAGCTATTCTCAGCCCCATTCACAGATTTATTAGCTTGCACACACAGAGAAATTCATTCAGCAAAGTTCATTCATAAAAATTTCAACACTCTGCGTACCATCCCGCACATCTCAGCCTTCCGCCGCCGCCGCCGCCGCGCTCCCGAAAGCAGCTCTGAGAGGGACGGATGCTCCGGGCCAGGGCGGGCCGGCGGGAGGGGATGCGAGGAACTCGGAGGGACCACAAGTCCCTGAAATAATGCCGAGCAGCTCCGGCCACTAGTTCTCCTGGCTTGTGGCCCAGACGGAATGCAAGACAAGATCTTCCAAGAGAGGGCAGCCATTAGAATCAAGAAACTCAGGCAGAAAGCCCTTTGGCTCCTATAGACCTTTTCTTTTTCTTTTTTAAATGGACAGTCACTGGAACAAAGGGTTAATAGGCCAGTCATTGCCCCGCCCTGTGGGAGCCGAAGGGAGCAGGTTTGAAAGTTCCTGTGTGCCGCGGGGCGGCTGGGGGTGGGGGTGGGGGTGGGGGCGCTGCATCTTCAGTGTGAGATAAGCCACGTCACCACGCATGCCCTTTGTCCCAGAAGACGTATAACAACAACAGCATGTGTGAGCTACAGGTGACTGAAGAATGTGCCGAAGGTGGCCAGCGTTCTCACGCAGAGTAACACCTTGCTATGGGCTGAGGTGTGTCTCTCCCAAAAACATGTGCTGGAGTCCTAACCTTCAGCACCTCAGAAGGTGACCTTACTTGGAGAGAGGGTCTCCTTTTAAATTTATCTTTATTGTTGAAGGTGTTAAAGATGTCCCCTTTGCCCCATTGACCCCTTCTGGCCCACATCTGCCCCCTCCCCTACCCCAGGCTTCACCACACTACTGTGTCCATGGGTTATGCATATATGCATGTAAGTTCTTTAGTCAATCTCTTTCCACCCAGTCTTTATAGAAGCAATCAGGATAAAATACGAGCCGAAGAGGTGGCCGCCGCGGGCCGCACGGGGCGTGGAGACATGTGCTTTCCGCACCGGTTATCTAGCAGACGAGCGGCGATTGATGCCACAGGGTCCAGTCCCCGCGCTGCCACGGCTATGCGAGAACGCAGCCCGGACGGCTGGGCAGGACTCGCGCTGCATGTAGGACTCCTCGGGCACCCCGGGATGCTGCACAGGGCCAAGTACAGCCGCTTTCGGAACGAGTCCGTCACGTCCTTGGACGAAGGCAGCCCCGGAGGCTCCGTCGGGAACAAGGGCTCCCCGCAGCCTCCCTACCCCGCCCTGGCCCCTCACTTGCCGGCTGAAGATGCCCCCTCGCCGTCCCAGGAGAGCCCCACCCCACTGTGCACCTTGATCCCGCGGATGGCCAGCGTGAAGCTGGCCAACCCAGCCACCTTGCTGAGTCTGAAAAACTTTTGCTTGGGGACCAAAGAGGTGCCCCGGCTGAAGCTCCAGGAAAGCCAGGAGCCGGCTCCCAGCAGCCCGGCTTCACCCGAAAACGGTCTAAATAGGTCCGGGTCTGCACCTCCGCAGCAGCAGGACGTGGTGGGGCGCAGGGCAAGCGCCCTAACTCCCGATGCCTGCCCCCTCCCGGGCCCTGGGGACCCGACCCCCGGGAGCAGGCAGGACAGGCACTTCCTGCAGCACCTGTTGGGGATGGGCATGAACTACTCTGTGAAGGTGAGTCCATTTCCGTCTCCCTCTCTGCACGCCTGCGGGCTCCTGGGGACAGACAGGGGCCTCTTCTCTGCTTTCTGCGAGGGGCCGCACATCACGGGGCTGTGGACTAGGTTTGGACAGGGCATTGTGCACCTGGACCAGGGCAGGAGGGGGGCCCGGTTTGCTCTGCAAATACCTGCCTTGTACTGGAGTCGCACAACTTTGCTTCAAGGGCATGGACTAGTGCTAACTTAGGGTAGTTGCCAGGTGTGGGGCAACTTCTGATCGGGACAGCGAAGATAGCGCCTTCTTGTCCTCACTGGACCTAGCATTCTGGCCAAGAAGAGTCCAGAATTTCAAATCTGATTAGTGATTGAGACCTGGTAGGTTATAATGGCCATTGTACTTCGGGAGAGATTTCTGTGCTAGAGGAATACATGCTGTGTAAGGAACTTGAATTATACTTTAAATTTCAATTTAGCATTTAACAAGCACTTCTCAAAACATGGCCAAGTCTCTAGTCTTGTATGAGGAGCCAGTCTTAGGTCTTTGGTGCGCATTTTTGCATTTATTGCCTGCACTGAGGCAAGTGCGACTTGTCCAGGAGCTGTGTGCAAAGCCAAGGTCCCTGTTGGCTTTGCATCTGCTCTTGCCCAGTCCAGGTCTGGGTGAAAGAAGTAGATTTGGTCCTTGCCCTTCTGGAGCTCACCTTTCAATTGAGGAGATCGATGAGTGCATGTGAAATAAAAAGAGAGAGATACCTAGTAATAGATACCTAGTGTGAGAAGGCTGAGGGAATTCAGCAAGATAGAAGGTTGTGATCTGGGATTTATTCAGGAGGCCCCTTCAGGGGAAGGTGCATCTTAGAAGAGAGAACACATCTGGATTGGCAGAGGGGAGGAGATTCCTAGCAGGGCAAGAATATGAATGAGCACAGCCTAAAGGCAGGTGTGACTGTGGTGGCTGCAGGCCAGCATCACAGAGACTGGGCTTTCCTGAGAGAAGGGGCATGCTGTAATGAGGGGTGGTACATAGCTGGGGCTCAAACAAATACGGGTCAGAAAGAGGCCAGTATAGATCATGGGTAGCTTGGGAAGAAGGGAGCCGTTGACCACAGAAAGCTCTTAGATGTCGAATGAGGAGTTTCTAAACACTGACTAGATCCCTTGTAGGTTTGTAGGTAAACTGTGACTTCACCAAAGTGGTTTCAAAAAGATCAACCTGTGGATTTATTTGTGATGAATTGAAGCCAGGAGAAATTGGAGATTGGAAGGTCAATAAGAAAGAAAGTTCAGGAAAGAAGGATGAAAACATGGATGAAGGTAGCGATGAGAGGAAGGAGATGAGTGTGAGAGAGACTGTGAGGAGCCTCAGCAGCTTTGGGCGATGGGTCAGATCATTTCAGCTCATAATACAAATCACGGAATAGTCAACATTTACTGAGCAGTGGGCAGATTGGCGAGTTTGTGCTTCTTGTTTATGGAAGTTGGGGGAAAGGCTGATGAAAGGGGTTGTGAGGAGTGAAAAATACCTTCAGACTTAAGTCTCAGAATAAGAGTAGTGAAGCCAGTGATAGAAGCCGAGTGAATTGGGGAGACTCATGCTACGTTTGCCCTTGACATGTTACATTTAAAGTGGTGTTATCCATGTGGCACTTATTTGTAGGTAGGCTGTCACATAAGACTAGCACTCAGGTGAGGAGTTTCATGTGAAGGTGTAAATTTCAGAGCTAGCCCCATAACTATATTATAAACAGGCAATTAAGATCTCTAGGAAGACCAATAACGAACATTGAGAGGGTTACAAAGAGAGCAGCAGGCTTGGGGCAGCCTTGGAAGATGGATAATTAAAACCTCTAAGGAAGATGAACTTATGGGACACTCAGCTCTTGCACTCCTCCACAATGACATGACTCATACTGGAAATAGCTTCATGTATCTACTAAAAGTTCATGGGCACAGTCTCATTTGCCAAGGATAAGTGTCTGCGTGGTCCTAACAGGAAAATGACTGCCTCTCCAAACCCATGGTCTTGGCACCTGCCTTCCCATCCCCGAGACATCCCCTACCTTCTGCCCTGCCTTTCCTCCCCTCTGGTACCGCCTTCCACGTCCCCACACCCCGGCACCACCTGTACCATTTTAAATGGCAAGAGTTGCTGTGTGCTCTCCATTGTCCCTGGCGAGTGCCTCCACTGGCATTTTGCATTTTTAATGAGTAGCCCCTCTGTCTTTCCCTGGGATGACAACCGACCCCAGGAAGAGTGCTGACCCATGACCCATCATCCTATTTTGCCATTAGACAGTGATGTGAGGTACCAGTTGACACCTCTCTTAGGAAGTCAAAATACACAGAAGAGCTTACTTTAATAATTTTTATAGAATCCTAACTTTGAAAGATGGCAGGGGCTCAGAAGTGATCAAGTTCAATGCCTCTACAGAGAAACTGAAGCCCAGATAAGTGATTTTTTAAAGGTCACACAGAAGTCAAAAGGACAGATCTAGAACCCCCTTGCGGGCCATTCTGGGCTCTTTTCACCACAGGTTTTCATCGTGGTGGAGATTCTGTTCCTCAGGATTCTTTGAGATGTGAACCAATTAAAAAAAAATTAAATGAAAACCTATTAATGTACAGTGAAAAATACCAAACCAAAATTGTGATCCCTATATAGGAACAGGTACATAGGAAGACTTAAACCAAAGGTTACTCGGTGATGGTGGAAGCAAGGCTTAGAAGTGACAGGGATATTCTTAATGGCGGGTTGCATAGAACAGATTTTATAGGCAAGAGGCGGCCACATATTTCACTTCCTCATCCGCATCATATGACTGGTCCCCTCCCCACCAAAACTTACTTGTTTATTCATTCACTCATGTATTCAACGAATATATATTGTGAACCAATTTATGTGACAGGCCCTTGGGATACATATGTGAATAAAAGAGACCAGGTCTGGGCCTTGGTGGAACTTACATTCTAGGAAGTAGAGATGGGCTCTGGTTGAATATTGAATAAGCAAGTCAATAGAATATGTCATGTGTAGTAGGTGTTAGGAGAGCAATACAGCAGGGGAAGTAAGAAAGGCAGTGGCCTAGGTGGGGCTGGCAGGTATATTTTGCGGGGGCTAAAAATGGCATAGTTCATTTTGTTTCCTTGCACATTTTATTTTTCCAATAGGAACTGTATTTGCCCTCTAAGTTACAGTTGACTTTGGGTTAAATACCCTTTTTAAAAATGACTCTTCTTTTGGTCTCTTGACGTAGAATCAGTTAGACAGCTGAAAATACTTAGAAATCCTAAGCACCTAATTTCTAGTCACTTTCATTTAAGCTCAGGCCTTGCACACCCTGGAGGTCACTCAAGGAAGATGGCTAGCAAGTCATCCTTTGAGAGGTGCTGGGCCAGAAACAGCCAGCCAGGTCTGAGCAAAGTAGTGAGGTGAGTGAAGTCTGCCCCACGATGCCAAATGGTTTATTTTCGCCATAAGATTAAGTCTCATTTTTTTCCTGAGGTCTCCCCACGTCACTTCACCCATCAGCAGACATCCACCTGGAGGCCTCCCAGGTGCCCCCCATGTCTGTGATGAGTGTGGAAAACATACAACGTGATGGGTGTGCTCATCTCTAAAATGAGCGGCTTGGTCTTGATGGCCTTCACGGTGCCCCCCAGCACCAGCGTTGAATGACTGTATGCTCCTTTCTCCAGTGGGAAGTGTTTTAAACTTTCCCATCCCCAACCCCCCAAATTGCCTGTAATTTAGTTCAAAGACCACATAGAGCAAAGACAGAGAAACCCTGCTGCGACAGGTGAACATAGTAGTTCTCACACTGACCCTCGGAGGGAGGCTGCCTTCTCCAAGTGAGGGCACTGAGACCCCAGAAGTCGGTTATCTGCCCTTTACAACGCAAGTAGCAGACAGGATTCAAACCCAGGCTTGTCTCCCTTCGTTGCTCGTCTCCTTCCAGGCGTCCTGGAAGTGTGCGAGTGGAGTAGTGTGTGTGGAGGACCACACTGTGCCGGGGAGCTTTATTACAGGAACGGCCCTTAGAGCTTGCTGGGTCGCATTCATTTGCATGATTTCAGTCTCCTCACTTCAGCCCAGCCCAACCAATTCCTTAGACCGTGTTATTGTCCTAGGGTGGCGGTGACAAATATCACAAACTGGGTGGCTTACAACAACAGATAGTTATTCTCTTGCAATTCCGGAGACTAGAACTCTGAAATCAGCAGTCCTTGGCATTCCTTGACTTGTGAATACATGACTCTAATCTCTGCCTCCTCTTCACGTGGCTTTCTCTCCTGTGTGTCCATGTTCAAATTTCCCTCTTCTTATAAGGACACCAGATCCTGGGGTAGGGCCCATATGAATTCAGCATGACTGCCTCTTAACCTGATTACATCTGCAAAGACTCTACCACCAAATAAGGTCACATTCACAGGTTCTTGGGGTTAAGACTTCAACCTACCTTTTTGGGCGATGTAATTCAGTCATAACAGCCCCCCAGAACATTAACTGCAATGTGTTTGCCCACATAGACGGTCTTGGGTATCGGGCTCATCAGCTTTGTATGCAAATACAAATTTGTATTGAGGTATTTTCTTTACTTCCTTTGTAAATATCACAGCATACTCTTACTGTCTATCCTACTGTGTCTAATGCTGTGTTTTAATGCTGAGCTAATAGGTTAGTGCTGTCTGTTGTCTAGATTAGATGTAGTCCACAGAGCTACAATGTTCTGTCTGCCCAAGTATCTTTTTCACAGGAGTGCACAGATCTAGGTGTGACAAGATCTGGGTTAGAGTAACGGCCCTCACATTAAATAGCTGTGTGACCTTGGGTGAGTCACCTTACCTCTCTGCTTTTCTCAGATTTAAAACAAGAAGTTTGAACCAAATGCTGCCTGAGATCCGGAGATGCCAGGTCTCCTTTCCCACTGATCTTAAGTATCCTTCTCTGAGGATCTCTTTTGGTTAGAAAACAGATTCAGGCCAGTTTCCTGAAGGAAATAACTTTTTACGTCT